GGCCCTCATGAGGATGGCCCGGCCCAGCCAATAAGGAAATGCCTGCACTGTGAGATAACCAAGACCCCTCAGTGGCGGGCCGGGCCGATGGGACCAAAGACACTTTGCAATGCATGTGGGGTCCGCTACAAGTCGGGCCGGTTATTCCCAGAGTACCGGCCAGCAGCCAGCCCGACATTCGTCCCAGCCCTGCACTCAAATTCGCATAAGAAGGTCCTCGAGATGAGGGGCAAAGGCGATGCGGGGTCCAGACAAGTCTCGGAGGTAGTAGTTATGCCTAATGCCTAATGCCTAATGCCTAGCTTCTATTGTTTGCATTTAGCTTCGGATATTTATTTCAACGTTGCTGCTACTATAGGCTTTATTTCTTTCGTTCTTTGTACATTGATGGGAAAGGGAGTGAGTGAGTGTTGGGAAGCTTTGTTAGCAGTTTGAGGTCTTTTTAGGAGTCTCTGGTGGTAATGGTTATGGTCTTCATTGTTTTGTTATTAGGTCATTTCAAATTTTATAGCTTTTTCAGGACAGTAATATTGTCACTATTTATGGCGTAGAACATACTATTGGTTGACCCTTTAGAGGGAATTCTTTTTGCAGTTTGTGGTGTACTTTGTTTTAGGGTTTTGGAGTTGGTTTTGTATTCAAGTGATTTTTTTCTTTCCTTTCGTGTTTTGAAAATTATAATCAGCAGATTGGAAAGGGATTGTATTTTGAACGTGAACTATTATTCTCTTAGTATTAGTAGCTTATTCTACAATCTTTTCATTCTAAAAATGTTGGATATCATATGAAGCATCATTTGTTATCGAGGAAGGTTGCTATGTACTTAGGGAGTTGCACGAAGGATCTATGGTCAAGTCGTTGATTGCAAATGTTTGAAGGGCAAGTTAATTGATTGCAAATGTTTGAAGGACAAGTTAATTTTTGGCCGAGGATGCGAGTTGATGTGGTGAAAATGGTTAATGGGTGCATTCAATGTCAGATTCATAGGCCTATTTTACATCAACCAGCTGAGGGGATGATGTGGTGAAAATGGTTAACGGGAGCATTCAATGTCAAATCATAGGCCTATTTTACATCAACGAGCTGTCTGAAGGGATGATGATGACGATGAGCTCACTTGTTCCCTTCACTCAGTGGAGAGTCGACCTGGTTGGGCCATTATATCAAGGGTCGGGAAAAAAGAAAGTTTATGATCGTTGCAGTTGATTACTTTACCAAGTATAGGTTAAGGCTAAACCCTTAGGTCGAACACAAGCACAAGGTCGTACATTTTCTTTACCATAATATATGTTGTCGGTTTAAAATCCTCAAGGTGTTGGCTCAGATAATGGAACTGAGTTTAATGGCCGAAGAATACGAGCTTGGTGCGACGATATGAACATCGACCAACCCTTTGCCTCAATAGCTCACTCGCAAGCTAACGACCAAGTGGAGGTCACAAATAGGACAATTCTAAACAGTCTAAAAACAAGGTTAGAACGGGTCTCAGGTGCATGGGTGGACGAGCTGACATCTATTTTATGGGCGTACCGTACGGCCCAAAGTCGACCGTAGAAGCAACTCCATTCAGTCTTACTTACGGAATGGATGCGCTGATACCGGTGGAGGTCGAGCTAAGTTCACTAAAGATGCTTGCTTATGAGAAGGAGCAGGATGAAGAATTAGCTCGAATAGCCTTAAATACGGTTGATGAGCTGAGAGAGCAAACAACCATCCGGATGGCGACCTACAAACATGGGACGAAAATTGCTCATGACAAAAAGGCCAAAATCCGGAGGATCCAAGTCGAGGATCTTGTCTTCTAGGGTCGATGTCCTGAAGCACGTTGGTAAGCTCGAGCCGAATTGAAAAGGTCCATATATGAGTACACGCAAGCGGCATATACACACTTAACGATGGCCAAGGGTCCAAGGGAAGTTATTGTCTAGGTCGTGGAATAAGATGAAATTGAACAAATACAATTTATGTAATCAGTATATCTTTATGTCCGATGATTAATGAAGAATATTAGCTCACCAATATTTTTTATTTTGGTTACAAGATTGAACGTGATTGGAGCAAATGACACGACCTTTTGGCGAATGGCCATCGGCAAAAATCTGACATGACTAAGGCTCTCGAGTTGGTTGATTACTTCTTTGAACAACCTCATAGGCAGGTCAAACAAGTGTTGAATCCCTTGATGGAAAAAATCCAGCATGCTTAAAGCTTTCGTGTTGACCGATCGCTTGTTTGAACGACGGTCGGACAAGTGTTGCAGCCTTAATGGCAAAAATTCAACATGACTAAGACTTTCGAGTTGGTTGGTCGCTTGTTTGTATGACCTTAAAATCAGGCCATGAAAGTTTTGGAGCCTTGATGGCAAAAATCTGGCATGACTAAGATTTTTGAGTTGGTCGGTCGCTTGTTTGAACGACCTCAAAGGTAGGTCGGGCAAGTGTTGGAGCTTTGGTGGCAAAAATTCGGCATGACAAGTTCAACTTGTACGCCTTCACTAATTTCAATTTGGCCGGGTGAAGATAAGTTCAATTTTCACGCATCGATAAGTCAACTCGCATATCATGCTGACTTGAGTTATATAAGGAGTATGTAAGTTCATTTTCATGCCTAAATATATATTTTCACCACGTGCACCCTCGATGTCTTGAGGTGAACGAGGTAAGTTCATTTAATTTATAACAACAATGTAATCTAGAACAAGCACACGTTTATTATGTTAGTTATCGCAAGCAAAATACCTAAGGGCGACTCGATAGTGGATCCCACCCTGGGTAAGGCCAAACGGGCCGACCAACCCATAAAAGATCTTGAAGGGTAAGGCCCAGTAAGATAAACATAGCCCAAAGAAGAATAAGAGAGGCCCATATATAAGTCCATGACCATGACATAAGAAATATGTTGATGGTATAAGTTGAATGTTATTATAGCTCAAAGTTAAAGACATTGGATACCACACATGTTTCTAGACACAATGTTGATGTAATATGTGTTGACCTAAAACTAAGCGCCCTAGAATTTATAACTAAATTAATACTCCCATGATTTTCTGTGTTGTCATGCAAATTAATGTTTTGGTATACTTTTAGAAACAAATTGGAAATGGGCTGGAAATTTCCACTAAGTTAAGGCAAAAAAAGCTACTACTGGTTAATGTATATGTAGGGTTGACTCTTACATGTCTACAAATTATCTTGGATCTTGTTCTCACTGTCTGATTGTAATTCATGTTGCAGAATAAATCTTCTTTTTTCACACGATTCTAAATCCACACGGCCAATGAGATGTATTAATTTTACATTTTCCTTTAATCTATTCATATGCACATGATAGATAGCTATTGGGTTGGATAAAATGTGTTGGCTATGCATTATATAGGTCCAAGGTAATCAATTAATTTCATGGATCATTATAATGAATTATAGAGTGAAAAAAAAAAAAAAATTATCATATTGCAACGGAAAATTCAGTAGTAATATATTTTAATAAAAATTCTAACGAATATTCTTATGTTATAATATTCGTGGAAAATTTTCAATGTATATTTCAACACAAATTAAGCAATAACATATCCCATATATATATAGAATTAAATATTCCTTGGAATTTTATTTGAATTCGTCATAAGATGTTCCTTTGGATTATTTTTGAATTCATATTTTCACCGCTGAAAATTATCATTGGAACTGTTAAGATTCAACGAAAATTTTAATAGAAATTTAATTTTGAAGGAATATTTTTTATGAAATTTATGTTAGAATTTACTGGAAAAATCCAACGCGAATAATAGTATTAGAACATCCATTGAAATTTGATGATACAAGAAATACTTGATGTTAGTTCGAGGACACGTGGCGGTGATGTATGCTCCGACGTCAATCTCAGTGCGTCTCCTTTGCTCCGATGTCTGCAAAACAGAACTTTGGAGTTGTCCCTATGGATAGACCTTCTGATGCCTAAGTTAGAATCGGTTTTAGAGTTTTAAGGTGGTGGCTGCGGAATGAGTAGAAGAGAGAGTGTCGAGTAGAAGAGAATGTGTCTTACCTTGACTTAGGTCGCCTTTTTATAGGAGTCGGTCGACTATGGACTCCCTTCAGCAGACGGAGGACTTTCCAGCCCACTAGCTTGGTGGGCTGACCCCAGATATTAATTGGGCCCAAAGTAAAGTTCCTCTAGACCTTGGGCCTACAGTAATTCTCTTCAGAACCTTGGACCCAGAGTAAGACTCCTCAGGACCTTAGGCCTAACTTTGGGCTTCAGCCTTGACCTTGGATACTAACGGTCCTCGGAGTAAACATGTCTTTATTCTCCCGAGCTACGTGTCGCCTAATAAATGTATATTTTTTCTCTTATCAAAATTGATATTTGAACTACAAGAAATTCTATTTTTACTAGAACTAGTAAAGTGCACGTGCGATGCACGTGGTGTCGAATGATTTTCGCGGATTAAGTTTGTAAAATAAATTAGTTTATTTATTAAACATATCATTGCATAAAATGAAGTAAAATATAGAAAAAATGAACTCATATATGATTTTTTTTTTTTTATTTCGATTTAACATAATAATGTCCTCATATAAAAAATAGTGAAATAACGTTTTACAAACCCCAACAAAAATATACATAAAAAACAAATTCCTAATAAAAAAACACAAAGATTTTCTTTCATTTTAGTTTTAACGTTCTCATAAGAACATTCATAGTCGTTGGAGTCCAATACATCAATACTATTGCAAAATTCCTCTTAATTAATTTGGAAAAACGCCAATTTTATTAACACTTAAGAAATATTTTGGCCCAACATATAGTCAAACTTCAAGATAGTATGATCTTTATAACAAGGTACATCTTGTTTATACTCTATTATTAGTTCATGCACTTCTACTAACAAAGGATGAATATCTCTATGAAATAGTTAACGGTGTCACTAAAATTGCTGATAATTTTTATCACTGTATAAACTATTACATTCATCTATCTCTAGATATATTGGTGTCTACCCCATTGATGCATCGCCCCACGAGGTGGGAATGAATTTTATCTCCAAATAAAAGCTGACTTTCCAAAATCTTGGTTACGTGTACTTCTCCCGAGGTGCTAAATTATTTGTTGAAATCATCACACATTACCTGAAAGTACCTCTAAGGTAATTGCACATATGTTCAAGCTCAATACACCAATGAAATTATAAATATTTCTATAAAAAGTGACAACTTAATTCTAACATTCAAAACTGTTTTGATACATTTCATTTTCAGTGTTATTTACCTAGAATATAGACGAACAACATA